CAGAAAACATTCACAAATAATAATAATAATAATAATAATAATGATAATAATAATAATAATAATAATAATAATGAAGAAACTACAAGAAACTTGTATGAACATCACCCAGACCCAGTTTCAGAGATAGGACCTGTAACAATTTTATGGGACTTTACAATATACACATACAGAACAATCACATCTAATCGCATTGTGGTAAAAGACCACAAAAACATAATGTGCTTTCTTATTGATATGGCAGTCTCTGCAGATTGCAGTCTATCTTTGAGCATCCTTAAAAATCTTGAAATGGAAATCTAAAAAATGTGGCACATGAGAATATCAATAATTCCAGTTGTAGATGGAACCCTGGAATTGATCAGAAAAGGTTTCCAATTGACTCATTGAAGGGATTTTGGCTAACCTATGTCTTAAAGAAATACAAAAAATTGTACTCACAAGTACAGCTAATACATTACAAAGAGCTTTATCTATGTAAAATGTATGTGGTCTTAGTCTTTTTTTTTTATAAAAATGTTCAGTGGAAAATGTCATAAAGCCATTTCTGACCTTAGATCTCTGGTTGGAACCCGGAAGGAAATGTGTATACAGCAGAAATCAAGGGTAATAATAATAATAAAGAAATACAAAATGATTGGAAAAGATTCCAACAGACTCATTGAAGGGATTCCTGGTAGCCCATGCTTTAAAGAAATACAACAAATTATATTCATAATTAGAGCTCACGCATTATGAAGACCTTTATCTATGTAAAATATGTGTGATTTTGTTTTCTTTTTGTTTCATTGTTTGTTTTTTGTTTGTTTTGTTTTACAAAAATGATTAGTGGAAACTGTCATGAAGCCATTTCTGAATTAAGGTTTCTGGTTGGGACCCAGAAGGAAATGTGTATACAAGGGAAATTAAAAGAAATAATAATAATAATAATAATAATAATAATAATAATAATAATAATAATGATAATGATGATGATGATGTTGTGTGAATATTTGTGCCAAAATTTATTGAAATATGTCCATTTTCTCTCCCTCTATAACACACACACACACACACACACACACACACACACACACACACACACATGCATGACTTTAATCCCATAATTAAATAACAAATTAAACTAGCCCTATAAAAAATAACAATGTAAAAAAAAACCATGGCCTGAACATTGCATTCAAGCATGAAATAGACTGCCACTGTTAAATGCTGACCTCAATCTCCCAAACATCCATCAATGAAACTCTAAAGTCAAAGATGCTGAAAATGACATCAATCAACTAAGTGACAAATTTTATATTTGCATAATATGTATATATATATATATATATATATATATATATATATATATGTATATAATTAAACAAGAAAATAATCACATAATCAGTATGTTGAATATTCCTCATTACATCAAACAAAAGGTTAGGAAGGAAACTTCATGAATACCAGAAACTGCAATAACAGTTACTGGACTTAAGAAAGTTATTTTCCTGGAAAATTATTTTAAGATAAAGGTTTTATAAATTTAAACCAAAAGTATCACTGTATATGTCAATGAATTCCAAATATTTCCTTATAAAGAAACACTTAATATTACCATTAATCTATATATATATATATATATATATATATATATATATATATATATATATATATATAGTAATAATAATAGTAATAATAATAATAATAATCAAGATTCATTTTGGTTACAATTAATTTGTGAATATCTATATATTCATCTCTTCAGACCAAAATCTCTTAGTAAATGAAATCTTTAAGGTTTTCGTCTTGATTATTATTTTTATTATTAAAATGCTCTGTAGTCTAAGGAGGTGTGGTGGAGTGATGGATAGTGGCTCAGATTGAGGAATCGGAGAGCCAAGTTCGAATTCCAGTCCTATCCATTAATTACATTCACTTACACGTTGGGAAAGGAATGAATCCTCTTGTCCCCCCAGCTATGGGTAAATAGCAGGGCAGACCAATTTCTATAGCCTTAGATGTCAACTGGTCTACCACAGAAAGAAATGACAACCTACTGCAGGAAAAAATCTGCCTCATCAGTCATGTATCGAAAGATGCATGATCGCCTAAGCGTGTATCACGCATGGCACATAACTGACTGAGTCTACATTCAGCTCAGCCTGGATTCATATCCTCCTTGGAATTATCCCTACCAGACACAAACTGGTAATATATATATTTTTATTAAAAATATTTTATGTTGCAACATGGAAATTTCTATGTTTCAAGACTTTTTATCTCATCATCAGGCAATTTTCAGTAAGTTTGATAGTTACCAAACATTGCCTGATGATAAAAACTTTAAGTCTCAAAACAGAAATTTCCATGTCACAATGTAAAATATTATTAATAAAAACATCATTAAAAATATTATGCTCTACATTGTATTGAGCACTTTTTAAAAGAGTAAATGTCAGAGAACTGTGGATTCTAAATCTGTTTGTTCTTTCTCTTCGTTTGGACATATATATATATATATATATATATATATATACATATATATATAATTATTTATTTAAAAATATGATTCCAAATCACGACATAAGAAGTCCCATGTTTCAAAACAAGAGCCGAAAACATCAATATAATTATTTAAATTAAAATAAGCTCTGTTCCATCTTCAAGCGAAAATATTTTTTTTTTTTTTGGAATAACGTGTTTCTGAAATTTACGTGTTTTAAAAATTGAAATCAAAATTTTTTAAATAAATAATTATATTTATGCTCTACTTTTGTATCGAGCACTATTTTTAAAAAAAATAATAACTAAAATACTAAGGGACTTTGGATTATTTACCTAACCAGTTCCTTCCTATTTTCTATATATTTTCATATATATATATATATATATATATATATATATATATATATATATATATATATATATATATATAATGAGAAGCCATGTATACTTTCTTAATATGTATATATAGAAAAAACAACTAAAAAGTTGCAAATTAAAAAAATAATAAAGTTTTCTATGAAAGTATTTATTTATATTTGATATTTCAGATCGACCTTGATCTTTCTGAAATATCAAATATAAATAAATACTTTCATAAAAAAGATTATTATTTTTTTAATTTGCAAGTTTTTAGTTGTTATATATATATATATATATATATATATATTTTCTTCTTTTTTCTGCGGTAATGAATTTTTATTTAACAATCCGACAGATTTTTATCACTTTAAATGTTATTTTTAGGGGATACTCATATTTGAGTAGATGCTGTATTAAATATTATATTTATTTATTTTCATCTACTTGCCTGAATTTTTGAGAAATCTCATTAAAGAAAAATATATCCACTCTCCAGCAGAATTCTAACCTGGCTTAGGGAAATCGTCATTATGTTTGATGTGACTTAACCATCTCAGCCATGGAGCAGTCTTACCATTTAAGTGAAATCCAGGCTGGTAGACACAAATAAATAAATATACTGTTTATTATACTGCATCAGGACACTAAAGCAGCCCACAAGTAAAGTCATCAGGCTTTACAATTTCAACACTAGATTGTCCAAGAGACACATATCATAGTGAATCAAAGTTTTCATTAAAACAAATCAGGTTTGTTAGCAGTTATGAATTCAATCACCTATTCTGGTTCAGTAACTGAAATGTACATGAAAAAAGGTGAGTATTGATTGATATAAAATATAACATAAATATGGAAAGCAAAATGAGAACAATTTAAGTCCATTAAATAAAGGATTCAGTTAGAAATTCTAAGAATTTTACCAATTACATCAATATAGACACCTGAAGAAAGTCAGAGGATAAAATGACTGAAACATTGTAACTATGCTAAGGCATATAATGCCAAAATATATGATAATAATGTCTCATCTCAAACAAATAGTGATAATACCACTTCTGAAATTCAATAATGATAATGCCTCTTCTCAAAGTCAATAATGTGAATACCACTTCTCAAAGCCAATAATGATAATGCCTCATCTCAAAGTCAATAATGATAAAGCTTCCTCTCAGTCAGTAATGATAATACCTCATTTGAGTCAATAATGATAATGCCTCTTCTCAAAGTCAATAATGATAATGCCTCATCCCAAAGCCAATAATGATAATGCCTCATCTCAATCAATAATAAGAATGTCTAATCTCAAAGTCAATAATGATAAAGCCTCCTCTCAATCAGTAATGATAATACCTCATTTGAGTCAATAATGATAATGCCTCTTCTCAAAGTCAATAATGATAATGCCTAATCCCAAAGCCAATAATAATAATGCCTAATCCCAAAGCCAATAATAATAATGCCTAATCCCAAAGCCAATAATGATAATGCCTCATCTCAAAAATTGTGGCAAATATGTTCTTTTTTTTTGTACTATTCTAATGTTTTCTTTTGCAATTTCTCTTCCTTTTTCTATAAATTCCATTTCCAGATTTTCCATTTCCTAATTCCATTCTCATATTTTTTTTTAATTATGACATCTTGACATTCTCTTTTATTTTTTCTTTTCTTTCATATTCACATTTTCTATTTTCCTTTTGATTTTCTCATATTTTCTTTTCCCAAATTCTATTTTCAGGGTTTTTGTTCCCTGATTCAATTCGAGCATTTTCTTTTCACTGATTCCATTCACATATTTTGCCTTTTATTGCATTCAGACAATTTTCTTTTTTATTTATTACATTTTCCACTCAATAATTCCATTCTCATATTTACTTTCCGATTAATATTTTCTTGTATTTGCCCCAATATCATTCTAAAATATTCTTTGACCATATTTGATTTTCACATATTATTTTCCTTCAATCTTTTTGTACTGAATTCCATTTTGATATTTTGCTTGAGTTTATTCTGTTTTCACATTTTTATTCATCTTTTATTCACTGCTTCCATTAAATTTCCACTTCAAGCAATCCCTGATAATTTATCCTTTATGTCTATTCAAAAATTTTCATTTTTCACTCACAATGTACTTACATTTTGCCACATTCCTTTTCCAGATGTCCAGTTTCTTTATTCCTTTTCCAGATGTCCAGTTTCTTTATTCCTTTTCCAGATGTCCAGTTTCTTTATTCCTTTTCCAGATGTCCAGTTTCTTTATTCCTTTTCCAGATGTCCAGTTTCTTTATTCCTTTTCCAGATGTCCAGTTTCTTTATTCCTTTTCCAGATGTCCAGTTTCTTTATTCCTTTCCAGATGTCCAGTTTCTTTATTCCTTTTCCAGATGTCCAGTTTCTTTATTCCTTTCCAGATGTCCAGATTTCTTTATTCCTTTTCCAGATGTCCAGTTTTATTCCTTTTCCAGATGTCCAGTTTCTTTATTCCTTTTCCAGATGTCCAGTTTCTTTATTCCTTTTCCAGATGTCCAGTTTCTTTATTTGTTTCACATTGTGTTTTCCCATATTCTTTTCACACATTTTTCTTTTCTTGCATTTTCACATATTCTTTTATCTTATGTTCTTATTCTCACATATTTTTCATATTCTATTTTCACATTTTTCCTTCATTTCATTTTCACATATTCTTTTTTTTTCTCTGTTCCCATTCTCATATTTTTTTGTATTCTCATCTTGCATCTTATAAATGAAAAAAACATTAATTACAACAGAAATCTTGAGGTGATTTTAGTGGAAGAAAATATTTTAAATCATTTTTACATGGTTTATATAATGGTGATCTTGTTCATTGGCAACAACAAAATCCCATTTCAGTGGATTGACTGTTGAGTAACACCAAATTTAATTGAGATTTGATGTTCCCATTTTGTTAGGTGACCGTTATCCTTATCAGTTGACTGCAACACCATTATTGTATCAGCTGTAAGCCCTCAGAAGTTTTTTGTATAGTACTGATGACTTTTTTGGTGATTAGGGATTAGCAGGACTATGATTAATACTAACATTAAATTTTTAATGTATTTGGCTATACAAATTCTAACCTAGTGTATTAAAGTTTTGATTCATCAAATTTGGTGGCATGGTAATTGCAAGTTTAATTTTTCAGCAGGATATTACAGAGTCAGTAGAAACAATGTGAGCAAACACTTAGTGGTACTCAAAAAAGAACAAGACAAGATATCCCTAGAGATCGCTACAACAGAGTGAGAACATTCTTCCTCACTAGATTAAATGAAGGGGCATCAAGGTTACAATGGCTAAGGCAATGAAATGAACATGCCCAAATGTTCATCCTGGGTAAGAAGATAAACTACATCTAACAGCAAGGCCTCTGATCATGAGGCTTTGGGGAGCGTGGAACCACCTCTTAATTGCTGGTGTTCCCGCATCCACCCTAATCCAGGGTGGTTACACCTGTTAAAGTCCCAGTGGTATGGAAATAGTTAACCCCTAAACTGAGGTCAAAACACAATAAAATTGTAAAAATAAGTTTTAATACCAGCAACATGTGTTCATAAAAAAATTACCAGCAATAAATTTTTGAAAAAAAAAATTATTACCAGCAATACATTTTTGAAGAAAAAATATAACCAGCAATGAAAATCTTGTTGGCATTATATAACCCATGGAGGATGATATGCCGTAAAATAAACCAAACCAAACCAAACAAACCAAACCAAATGTTTCTTTTACCAGATTTCATTCAATAGAAGGCCTGAGATGCACTCTAGGTAGATGTAAGCATTAGTTGAAATGGTAAGGATTAATGATATATATGTTATGAACAGAAAAGGAAGTAGTAGAAAATAAAAATTGCAGTTGAAGAAATGGCAGTAGAACTCGATTTTTGGTTTAATCGGAACATGTAAAAATAAAGCCTAGCATAAGGTGTCAGATACTTCCTAGAGCAATAAAATCAGTCAGTCATTTGTAAGTAATCAGGAAGAAACTCAACACTTAAGCCCAACATTTGGTGACTTTTTAATCATAGAATTTGTGATTATTAAGGTAATGATGATAATAATAATAATAATGATAATGATGTTATGATAATAATGATGGTGAAAAATGACAAGGAAAGTGATAATGGTGAAGATGATGAAAATGATGATGATGATGATGATGATGATAGTAGTGATGGTGATAATGACCATGATGATGATGATGATGATGATGATGATGATGACCATGACACCACCATCATCATCATCATCATCATCATCATCATCATCATCATCATCATCATCACCACCACCACCACCATCATCATCATCATCTGTTAGAACAGCCAGTCATTTTGGCTTTGAAACTCTACCAACAAACCTGGTGGCTTCCATGGAAACATCCAAAGTGGTTTTTTGCCCAAGGCTGTGTAAATTCATGTTTAAATCTAGAAGGTCATCATCTATTCTGCGTAATTTCCAGCACACCTGCAAAGGAGGAAATCTCCTCACCCCACTTTCCCAAATGACAAAAGTCAAAATTAGATTAAAAATAAATATATAAAATCCCACCATCTAAACAAAGTAATTTTACATTCACTTGTCCCTAAAAGGAGAACTACTTCAATCTCTCAGTCTTTGAACCACAAATTCTTATGGCTTGCCTTGCAAAGAAGCTCTTTTAAATATGAGGAAGAATAAATGGTAAACATAGCACACCCTCATTTAAAAGACACACAAGAACGTTAGAGCAAAACAGACAACATAAAAAAGGCAGAAATAAAAAACTGTGTAAGACAATTTTTTTTTTTCAATCAGTGATTTTAAAATTTCTACCATATTTCATGGAACATAAGAACACCATTTTTTTCCCAGGATCTTATCAGTGAAGTTCAGGAATTTGATAGGTTAATGTTGACTCATACATCATAGACAAATGATATATATATATATATATATATATATATATATATATATATATATTTTTTTCTATATAACACGCAAAAACGAAAATAAAAATGAAATGGTACTTTCCTTTTTATATGTGGAAAAAATTCCACAGTAAAGCAAGACTCACTTTCTTTTACATTTTTTATTTCTTGTCTCATTGGGAAAGGATCAGGTGAGTCTGAAAATTCCGATGATTTTTTAAATCTTTCTCATCGTAGTTCTGTTTGGTCAAAAGGCCGACTAATACACAAAATATTATTAGTCTTATTATTAAGAATATAATTTTGATTGTCTTTTTTTACACCTTGGATTTTTTGAGTGGCCAGTTAAATCTACATACACACACACACAAACACACATGCACATTTATATATATATATATATATATATATATATATATATATAATTATTTATTTAAAAAAATTATAACATATGTTATAAAATCACCACAAAAATAAATGGTTTTAAAAGTTTCAAATTAATTAACGATCCTTCGCAAGGGGAAAACGTTTTGTAACAATGTTTTCCCCTTGCAAAGGATCATTAATTAATTTGAAACTTTTAAAACCATTTCTTTTACATTCAACATCATCACTTGATAAGACACTGGAGGTGTTAAAACAAAATGGCTATTTTTGTAGTGATTTTATAACATATTTATGTTATAATTTTTTAAATAAATAATTATATCTGCTCTACTCTGTATACTCTTTTAAGAATAGTAATTGTTGGTTATTGGAATTCATTCTGTATACACCAATTATATACTTGGGTATATATATATATATATATATATATATATATATATATATATATATACAGATATATATATATATATATATAAAGAGGAATACTTTACTAGTGGTTGAGAGTGCTCAAAAAATCTGACACAGCAATTAGAACCCAAACCACTTGTAGCAGGTCTGTGTGGTGAATGGAGGAATCTGAAATGCTTCTTGTAAAAATTACTTTTAATTCAGATTGAAGTGGATTACTAATTACCAGATTAGTGATGACCAACTTATTTTTAACTACTCTGCCTCATTCTACCCTGTCAAATGACCAGAATTAATTTGGTTCAACTTTTGTCTTGTCTATTCTCACTTCTTTAAAGAAGATACTATGCAATGACCTTTTGTTTACATACCATTTTCCACAGTTAAAAGTCAAAATAACAATAATGGATTTTTGTATTATTTCCACAGTCAGTTTTGAATATTTGCCAGAATGTTTTCTTTTGTTTTACTTCACCTTAGTTCCATCTCTTTTAAATGTCTGATAGTATCACTATCCATTCTAAGCACCAAGAATTCAGTATCCATTATACTAATGGTTGTATATCATTGCAATTCACAAATAAGACTTCCTTCCACCATTTTCATCTACCCATCAACTTATCAGTGTTGACTATTCTTGTATACTTGGATAATTTAATCCAGTACAAGTTGAAAAAAATTTTTAGATATTAAAACAAAAAATTTCTTTCTTTCTAGCATTAAAAGAAAAATTATTAAATAAAATTAAAACAAAATGTAAGGTTTGACTCCAGTTACACATTTCATGCCCTTTTGACAAATTCCTTCTAAATAATTAGATAAATTTGTTCGAAGGAAAATGAGAGAGAAAACACAAAAGATAATTGAAATTGCATTTGAATTCTTGAAGATCAAAGTTGACTGGAAGCAGAAAGCCAGAAGAGAGTTCAACAAGCGAGAAGTGTCACAGAAGAAACTGTTAGCATAAAACTTATGGTTACATCTCGACATTTCAACTGTAAATTGTAATGGCCCAAGACAATTCTTCCTTTGCCATGTACACATGGGATAATATTACATAACATTTCAGCATGCTCCTCTTCTTTTCTAATCATTTCACCCCAAGCAAGGTAATAAAGCCACTATGAATCAATGGGGTTACTGAGTGCCAGAGAATATGAGAAAAACTACTATTAAGAACAGAGGACAATAAAAGATTAAGATTGCATTTAAATTTATAAGATGAAAGAAGCTGGAAGAGAGTTTCACAAGCAAATGATCTATTATTGTATATAATTAGGTCACAATAAAATTTGTATTTTATATGAATACTAGCTTTAAAATTGAGATGTAATAGAGTTAGGGTACCCATATCATAGAATATTGAGAGCACGAGACCCTTGCACAGGTTCTGACTGAGAGTAATCATTTTCATCTCATTATCTTACCCAGAAATCTACAACTATGATGTTCACATCACTGACTCAAAATTATTTATGTGAAGAGCTTCAGTTATTTCTTTTTTTACTCTAACCAATCATTACCTGAAAGTATATGACAGCATTATCTAACCTAATATGTTGACAGCAGGAATCATAGTAGACTGTTCCTCCAATACAAGGCCAATGAGCCACTCAAGATAGAGGGTTACCAATTAAGATTTTTGTGCATAAGAGAAGGAGTTAAATATACCCTTGTGCAAATTAATTGGAACAAGTGCTTTAGTTTCCTTTCTTTCAACATATGGTCAGTTTTCAACCCACTGGAGTGACAGGATGTAAGTGATTTCTATTTTTTCCGTCAGATTAGGTCATTTGCAGTGGTGCGCAGTAATATGAATCTATTTTTGGCATGTATGATGAAATTTGTTTGTCCCTGAAAAATATCGCATGATCCATGATTGCATCAGATTTTTGTCACACCCAGACACTAATGTCTCGACTGTCAATTAGTTGTCCTATGTCCATTGTCTGCAATGGACATTACTCCAAAGAAACATACAAATATTTTAACGCTGCATGAGCACACTGGCAAGCCTT